GTGGGCCCCCCATGCTCAGAGCAGCAGGTGGTGCAGAGCAGGGCAGGACCTCACCCCAACACCAGCTCCCGTGGCCCCCTGGCGCCAGCAGGAGGGTAGGGGTGACCGTGTCTCGGGGTGGGCACAGCTTTGCCCTCCCGCTGGGCCAGTCCTCACCTCTGAGGCGCCTCCTCTTCCAGAATCGGAGGATGTGAGCACCGACCTGCACGTGTTCTCCGAGGAGCAGATGGAGATCACGCTGGGAGAGGTGAGCCAGGCCCTGCCTCCTGGTCTGCTGGCCCCCCTGGGAAGGCAGCCCTTCTGCAGACCAGAGCTGCCACTGGGAGCCTGCTGGGCCAGTAAGACAGGGCAGGGCAGGGCAGGGCAGGGCAGGGCAGGGAAGGGAAGGGCCAGGCTTTGTGGCAAGAAGACACCCCTGGCCTCAGGGACACGCCGTGGGAGGCCTGGGCGGCTTCGTGGAACAGGAAGCCTGAGGCCAGCACGTCCCCTGCAGATCACAGAGGGCTATGTCGGCCCCTTCAGCTCCATCAAGGTGCCCATCATCTTCTCCCCGGTCACCCCCGGCACCGTCCAGAGCAGGTTCCAGTTCACGTTCAAGAACCAGCAGTGCCCGACGGTGAGAGTCCTGCAGCCGCTCCGTGCACAGCTCAGCACACACGCCTCCCCGTGCGCCTGCCCCCGGCCCTGCGGCAGCGCACGCCTCGCACACTCAGGCAGCTGGTGGTGGCTGGGACAGTTGGCACCCAGAGCCAACAGTGACACATGTCCACACACATGTCCATGAGCACATGCACACACATGCCCACACGGTGTATGTCCACCTACGTGCGTGTCCCACGCACATATGGACATGTGTTTGTGGGCACACCGTCACGTGCGTGTGTCCACATGTGCATGTTTCCACACGCATGCACGCTTGTACATGCATATGCACGTGTTCATGCATACAGCCTTTGCTCTAAATCCCTAGAAATGTCTTTCTTAATTTCCAAGTAGTTAAATTTTCTTTCATTAGTTTTTATCGTTTATTTTTTACGTCTATGAAATTATGCTCAGATAATATAATGTGCAATCTCTCCTTTTTAAAAAAATACATTTTATTGATTTTTTACAGAGAGGAAGGGAGAGGGATAGAGAGTTAGAAACATCGATCAGCTGCCTCCTGCACACCCCCTACTGGGGATGTGCCCGCAACCCAGGTACATGCCCTTGACCGGAATTGAACCTGGGACCCTTGAGTCCGCAGGCCGGCGCTCTATCCACTGAGCCAAACCGGTTAGGGCTCTCCTTTTTTAAAAAAATTTGTTAAAGTTTTCTTTGTGACCAGAGGTGAGGTTGACTGTGAAGACGATGAACAGATCTGTTGGCCGGTTACGCCCGTTCCCCGTGCCCCTCCCGCCCTTCACGCGGCAGCCCCCACCCCACCCCGCATCTGCGCAGACGGCTCTCCCGGCACCGTTGGGTCCAGTGCGAGGGCCCTTGCTCACAGCCACACGCTGTGCGTCTCAGAGGCCCACTCCCTCCCGCGTCGTGCTGGGCGCGCCTGCCGTCCGGGGGGCCGCCTCCCTCTCTGTCCCCCCAGCACAGCCACCCTGTGATCATCGCTTTGAATCTTTTTTAAAAATATATTTTTATCGCCAGAACCGGTTTGGCTCAGTGGATAGAGCGCCGGCCTGCGGACTCAGGGGTCCCGGGTTTGATTCCGGTCGGGGGCATGTGCCTTGGTTGCGGGCACATCCCCAGTGGGGGGTGTACAGGGGGCAGCTGATCGATGTTTCTCTCTCATCGATGTTTCTGGCTCTCTGTCCCTCTCCCTTCCTCTCTGTAGGGAATCAATGAAATATATTTAAAAATATATATATATATATTTTTATTGATTTCAGAGAGGAAGGGGAGGGAGGGAGCAAGAGAAACATCAATGATGAGAGAGGATCATGGATTGGCTGCCTCCTGCACACCCCACACTGGGGATGGAGCCCACAGCCCAGGCCTGTGCCCTGACCGGGAATCGAACTGTGACCTCCTGGTTCCTAGGCCGACGCTCGACCACTGAGCCCCGCCGGCCGGGCTGTTTGAAAATTCTTATAGTAGAGAATGTTCTTAATTACACGCCGAGAAGTGCCCTGGACCCCAGGCAGGGCCAGTGCAGCCTGTCCCGCGTCGGCCGGCCGGTCGGCACCCGCAGCCCCACAGCCGCGTGTTCAGTTCTCGCCTTCCCGTCCAGTTACACTTCCGAGCCATCGGCGTGGCGGTCGACGTGCCGGTCTGGGTGCCCAAGTCCATCGTGGACCTAAAGATATGCATGTTCGACCGGCTGTACCAGGACACCATCCAGGTCCACACGCGGTGAGCGTGCGCCTGGGCTCGGGCGGGCTGGGGCGGCGAGAAGCGTGACGAGGCTCCTGGAAGCTCCTCCAGGGCCCAGGGTTCCCAGGACGAGGTCACAGGTCCCACCCAGCGGGACGGCCCCCTTCCTGTAGCTGAGAGGCCTGTGGGTGAGCGGGGAGGGGGCCTGGGGAGCGGGGGCTCCAGGAACCAGCCGTGATGGGGGCACGGTGTCGGGCAGCACGGCGCCCGCCCGCGGGGTGGGTGAGGCGGCTCTCGGCCCCTCTGGCTGGTCCTGAGTTGGGAGCAGGGACAGAACTTCCCGGGAGCTGCAGCCACTGACCACGGCCTGGCCCTCCAGGCCCCCGAGCGTCCGGCAGAGCCTGTGCCTGGGCGGGAGGGGGCAGAAGCCGGTCAGGCAGGGTCCCCCCATCACCCCGACGCCTCCAGGCCCTGCCCCAGCGCCTGCCTGGCAGGAAGCCCTCGTGGTGCTTTCATTCAGGAGGATTCTCACCTGACGTCGGACGGAAGGCGAGCCCCCGAGAGGCAGGGCTGGGAGACCCTGGCTGTGACGTCAAGGCAGCTGGCGTGGGGGTGCCCGAGCGCCCTGGGGCGGGTGGAGAGAGCGGACAGGCCCCGGGGGCACTGAGCCGCTCGGTCCCGGCCCCCGCCTGCTGCAGGTCGAAGGCGGCCCTGCGTCTGAAGTTTGAGGTGTGCAAGGAGCTCAAAGGCCACATGGAGCTGCTGCCAGAGACGGGCTACATCCAGGCCCTGTCGACCTACTCGGTGCAGCTCAAGTTCCTGCCGCGGTGAGCGCCCGCACGGCCGGGGGGTGGGGTCCCAGCGGAGACCGGGAGGCGGTGCCCGGGGTAGCTCTGCGCCTGTATTTCCCGCCTCCCGTAGCTCCTGCCGATTCACTCACCTTGTTCTGGGGAGGGCAGGGCGGAGCGGTTTGTTGTCGCCTAACTGATGCGTTCCTTGGTTGCTGCTGGTCTATGCCCCGACCGGGCTCAAACCTGCACCCTGGCGTAGGGGGATGATGCTCTAACCAGCTGAGCTACCAGCCAGGGCTAATTGCAGGATTTAAAAGCACCACCAGATTAAAAATACATATATATATATATATATAAATATTTAAATAAAAAAATAAATCAGCCTGCGGACTGAAGGGTCCCGGGTTCGATTCCCAGTCAGGACACCGGCCCAGATTTCGGGAGCGTGCAGGCGGCAGCCAATTGATGATTCTCTCTCGTCGCTGATGTTTCTCTCTCTCTCTCCCTCTCCCTTCCTCTCTGACATCAATTGCGCGCGCGCACACACACACACACACGCACACACACGCGCGCGCACACACACACGCGCACACACACGCACGCGCGCACGCGCACACGCACACACGCGCGCACACATATGCAACAATCACACACACGCACACACTCACACGCACACACACACACTCACGCACACACGCACACACACGTGTGTGTGCACCACTCAGGTCAGTTTCACTGTCGTTTCCCAAAATATGACCGAGAGAAGCACAGGCGAGCGGCGCCGTCTCTTGCAGACACACGCTGCCGGAGGACGCGGGCAAGTACTTCGACAGGGAGAGCAGGATCCTGGAGGCCCCGCTGACCATCCGCGTGGCTGACCAGGTCTGCGGGGACCTCCCTGGTGTTTGGGGAGCGGGGGCTGCTCTGGAGTTGGGCCCCGGCAGGTTTCCAGTCGCCAGGCCTCACACGGCGGCCCCTGCCGGGGAGATGCAGGCGGGGAGTGTGGGTCAGCGGGGCTGGGAGCTCCCCAGGCTGCGGGCGGTCCCAGCACCCAGACCCCATGTGCCACACACTCACACACCTGCTCACACTCACACCCGCCACTGACCTCACACCCAGACCGCAGTGCGCGGGCATGCGCCTCCTCAGGACACGCACACATGTGTGCACACGTGTGCGCTCACTCCCGCGTCTCCCGTTGGCACCTCTGTTACAGCGGCATCCACGCCCTTGCAGGTTGGGTGGCAGAAGAGGGGGTTCTCTGAAGGGCGAGCTGTGCCCCTGAGGGCCCCGCGGCCGCAGCGAGGCTCCTGGTGGTCCGTGACTGGCACGCGCTGGCCCTTTGCCCCTCAGGTCAAGCCCATAGAGTTCACCGTCCACGCCACCGTCACCACCTCGGACCTGGAGCTCAGCCCCCTGGAGGTGGACTTCGGCTACTGCACCATCTACGAGGCCGTGAGGACCCCGGTCAGCGTCTGCAACCTCTCCCTCCTGCCCCAGGAGTTCGGGTTCGTCGGGGTCCCCAAGGTGCGTCCCGTCACGGGGGCAGGGCGGGCGTGGGGGCAGGGACGGAGTCAGGAAGCTCTGGGCACAGGTCAGGTGACTGCTGACCCAGAGGCCGAGCCGCCTCCCCCTCCCTGCCCTCCACGCCTCCCTCCCCACTGCTCTGCCCGGCTCTCTCTGCTGTCCCTCTCTCCGTCCCTCCTGCCCGTCGCTGCCTCACCCTGCCTTTCTCCATCCCCCCTCGCTCTCCTTCTCTGGCCACTGCACACACAGACTCCAGACCCTCTGCCCTCCCTTCCTGCCTCTCTCCCTGGCTGCCCGTCCTCTCCTGGAGCTGCCCCTCTGTAGACCTCACCGTCCATCACACTACACACATGTGCTCACATGCACGCAGACACTCACACGCATACTCACAGCATGTGCTCACATGCAGACACTCACACACTCGCATACACGCTCAGAAGCATGTGCTCACATGCAGACACTCACACACACACTCACAGCATGTGCTCACATGCACATACTCACATACACACGCACAGCATGTGCTCACATGCACGCAGACACGTGCACAGATGTGCATATACTCACAGACATGCAGACACACACGCATACACTTACTTATACTCAGACACATGCACTCGCATGCACACAGACACAGGTGCGCTCATATGCACTCACAGACATGCAGACACACATACACACACTCACATGTGCACAGACACACATGCACGCAGCCGTGCTCGCACACTAACATGGACACCTGCGTGCACATCACTCTGCCGCGCCAGCCCGTGTGCCGCAGTCCCCGTGACGCGCCCGCAGACGCTGTGTGTTCTCCCTGGTGCCCGTGGTTCCTGTGCAGTTTGTGGACATCCAGCCCAACGACGGCTTCGGGACGATCCTGCCCCTGGAGACCGTGGAGCTCGACCTCATCTTCCAGCCCACGAAGGCCAAGGAGTACAACTTCGAGCTCGTCTGCAAGTCGGAGATCAACCGGTGAGGGGGGGGTGACGGGGGACGGGGGGGCCGGCACTGGGCTGGCTGTGGGCTCCTCAGACCTGGCACAGACGCCTGAGGCCTTTGAGGGTAAGTGTGGGTGTGCATGTGTGGACATGTGTGTGTGTGGTGTGCCTGTATGCATGTGAGTGTAGACACATGTGAGTTCACATGACTGTGCATGTGCGGGCATGTGTCTGAGTGTACGTGGTACGTGTGTATACGTGTGTGGTGGGCATGTGTGAATTTGTGTGCATATGTGGACATGTGTGAGTTCGTGTGGCTGGGGCATGTGTATACACGTGTGGACACGTGTGGGTTCGTGTGTGTGGAGGTGTGCATGTGTGTGAGGCAGTGTGGGTGCACATGTGGGCCTGACGGAGGACCTGAGTGAGAGGCAGGCGACCCAGAATCCTGCGGGAGATGTGCTGCGTGTGAGCTCGTGGCGCGTGAAGAAAGGCGTTCACGGGTGAGTGGCGCCGGGGAGCACCCTGTTCCTGCGGGAGGAACGAAGCCGCACGTCCGTCACGGGGACCTGGGCCAGCGGGGGACAGCGGCCCGGCCCCTTCCCGGAGGAGAGCATGTCCACCCAGCGCTCGCCGTCTCCGTGCCGCTCAGCTGCCTGCGTCGAATACGAGCCGCAGGGGTGGTGGAGCCGTGGGCATCAGCGTCCACGGGCACCGTCTCAGTGTGTGGCACGTCCGTCGCCGCGAGGGTGACGGCAGCAGCATCGCCCCGCACGGGCGTCCGATGCCCTGTGTTATGGGTTCAATCAGCAAGATAGACCACCGACTCAAAATTTAAATTTTAAGAGCCTTTATTAAGCTGGCCAGCTGACTACAGCCGAGTCGCTCCCGTAAGAGCCTCGCAGCTTGCAGTGCCAACCGAGAGTACAGCAAAGCCTTTTATCTGCAACACTACAAAGTGTTTCCAAAAAGAAAAAGAAAAAACAAACTGCAAAGCGGTTCATTAGCCGTTCATGGTACTGGCAGGGTAAAAGGTCACAAAAGTTTACAAGTACAAACAGGAGGAAAGCAAGGTCACACCTGGCTGGGTTTCAATCATAACACATTGCTTTTCTAGCGAGATAATTATCAATGTTTCTCTCCCATGGTCCCTGCCCCTCAGCCCACTCAGTAATTCTTCTCTGCCAGGCCCCTGCCCCTAGCACACAATGCGTCGGGTGAGGCCGGCGCCGCGGCCCCGCGCAGAGGAAATGCGGA